TTCAGCAGGATTTGACCTACAATAAACAAGGATTTTAGAGAAGAAATTGATTATGTTCTATCTCAACAGAGTTGTTTTTAAACCTGGAGTTACCTAGGCCCCAAAATGGATGTTTTGCAGTGCTGTTTATACAGGGGTGTGGGAATTTTAAAAAAAAACTACTTGTCCAAGGGCTAAAACGGGGACCGAATCTACTTGTCCTTCATGACAATCTACTCCAGTACAACCAGCTCACTCCCCAGTATCCATATCACCAGTGAGATCTGCACTCCAGTATACACAGCTCACTCCCCAGTATCCATGTCACCAGTGAGATCTGCTCTCCAGTACACACAGCTCACTCCCCAGTATCCATGTCATTGGTAGGATCTGCTCTCCAGTACACACAGCTCACTCCCCATTATCCATGTCACCAGTGAGATCTGCACTCCAGTACAACCAGCTCACTCCCCAGTATCCATGTCATTGGTAGGATCTGCACTCCAGTACAACCAGCTCACTCCCCAGTATCCATGTCCCCAGTGAGATCTGCACTCCAGTACACATGGCTCACTCCCCAGTAGCCATATCACCAGTGAGATCTGCACTCCAGTACAACCAGCTCACTCCCCAGTATCCATGTCCCCAGTGAGATCTGCACTCGAGTACACACGGCTCACTCCCCAGTATTCATGTCATTGGTAGGATCTGCACTCCAGTACACACAGCTCACTCCCCAGTATCCATGTCACCAGTGAGATCTGCTCTCCAGTACACACAGCTCACTCCCCAGTATCCATGTCACCGGTGAGATCTGCGCTCCAGTACACACAGTAGATGGCCTTACACATTACATTCTTTTTACAGTCTTGCTTTAAATTACACAACTGCATATTATCAGGGCTTACCTAAATATTGTTCATATTACATAGGTAAATCTAAGGCTGGGTTCACACCTAGGCGTATTACGCATGCGCGACCGTCACGTTTTTTTACCGCGATTTGCGGTTAAAAAAAAATCGCGCGACCGTCGCGCGATTCCGAAGGCTACTTGGCTGTATCCCAATGGAAAACGCCCTCCAAAACGGCCCAAAGAAGTACATGTACTTGTTTGGGCATCAGCCGTTTTGTAAGGCGTTCAGACGGGCGGAAATACGGAAAGGTGTGAACCATACCCATAGAAAACAATGTGATTTTCATGGTTGTACGTTTTGTAGAGCGTTCATAGAGCGTTGAACGCGCGACAAAACGGAAAGGTGTGAACGGGCCTTAAGGAGATTGTAAAATCGCATTGAAATATGGGTGGCCATTGTTGTCTAAGTCTAACAAAACTGTTTATATAAATGAGAGATACAACAACATCCATTTTTTCTGAATTTGCTCTTCATTTGAACATGACAATTATAGTTATTTGCATCATTTTGGCAGACCAGCGTGTATCTGTATGGAGCATATCTACTGTTATGATGAGCGAGGGAAAGGCAGTGCTTTGTGGCTTTGGATTTAGATTATCATCCCAGTCAAACGTATTTCTCTTCTTGTGTATTCCCCTCATCGCATATTTTTATTCCCGCGCTCTTACAAAGGTCAGACTGTTTCCACCCTCTCTGGCAGCCTTGATGAGACTCCTCCGTAGCTGGGAATGGAGGTGACAGGGTGGGACACGGGGTGCAGAGTGTCACCCTCCACGTCTGCTATCCTTCATAACGGCAGAAAAACACCGGCTAGAATTGGCTCCGCGTCCGGAGTCGAGCGCTTTCAGACGTCAAATATTTGAACAGCTGCTCGGCGTTTTCACTGGCGCATGCACAGAGGCGACAGCAGGACGGCAGGGTCATCCTCCGCAGGGACACTGTTTAAAACTGTCACCAAATGTGTAACACTGGCAGAAGGCACTGCGGGTAGGCTCCTTCACCTTGATTTCTGGGAATAGCCGTCACCTGGGCATGTGAAAGCTTTTATGAGAATGTTAATCACTGTAATGATCATCTGGGTGAAGGCTTGTCCTGAAACGTCACATCAATTTGTTGCTTCGTTTTATTGGGTTCCAGAGTGCAGTGCTGGCTATGTCTGTCTGCTAAAAATGTCTGTTCCCTATCTGCCGCTTCATCGTGTACGCCTGTCCTACTAAACTCTGTCACCATAACCAATGCGAAAGCCTTATTCTCCTTTTATGTATAGCTCTGGATTCACCTCCCTTCATTTTTACTACCAAAATAGCATGTTAACCCTCTTTTATCAGGGCTGGACGAATCCCAGGAGCCAGGTAGGCAATGCTCCTTAAAAATGACAGCCGGCACCTAACTTGTGAGGTTTTCTCTAGTTGTTAGATGTTTGATGATTCTACGCTGTAGGTGAAATATATATATATATATATATAAGTGCTAAAGTAAATAATTTGAAGGCTGCAGCAAAAACCGACACTTAGGTCAAATCATATGAAATTCAAATTATGCAGCGCAAACATCAATCAATAAATGTGTCAATACCACAATAAACTGTGATCAATTCGTGAACTAGTAAGCACGCAAATGTGAACCAATGTATCATTTGGTCTACGGCACCTGGTGTTCCCAGGCGGTCTCCCATCCAGGTACTATCCAGACCCCACCCTGCTTAGCCTCCGAGATCAGATGAGATTGTGCGCTTTCAGGGTGATATGGCCGTTGATACATTGTTTCACATTTGCGTGCTTACTAGTTCACGAATTAATCACAGTTTATTGCGGTATTGACACATTTATTGATTGATGTTGGCGCTGCATAATTTGAATTTCTCTAGTTGTTGTCAATGGAGCTGACGCCTAAAAGAAAAACCCAGCCGACTCCTGGACTGGACAGACTGGCTCCTGAATTCCATGTTAATTTGTCCACCCTTACATAGTGCCTACACCGCCATGTAATATGCAGGAAAGTGTGAACACCTTTATGAAAGCAATTATACACACAAAGGTGCCCATATATATAAACTGGAAACAATTGCACAATCCATTGTTGCCCAACGGTATGAATAAAGGCCACTAACTCGGCCTCCTATATGGAGTTCTGTGCTGTTGATAGGACCTGGGTCCATGCATCTATAGAAGGGGATTATCAAATGTTCTATTACTGTTCATTCCTTCTCTCTTTTATAACTGGCATTTGTATGTCAGATACTGATCGTCATTACAATACTCGATCCTACGGAGCAGATGATGCTTCCCATGCAATTGAAGCAATATGGCAGGACCGGTGGAGGAGGGACTCCACACGTCCATGGTACAGCTCTCTGGCTTAGTCTCTTGTGCTCTGCGTACATTTTTTGTGAATAGTCCGCGTACTGCAGTCTGCTTTTGGGAAAGGGACCCAGTATAATTTGATTATAGAAGAACATTTTCCTCTAAACTGAGGCCGGATGGGTGGAATGTTTCCTTCTGTATGTTAGGCTTGCATCGGGGGGTTATGCAAGGTCTGTCGGGTCAACATGTTGATATGAAATCGCAGATAGTTCTCAGCATGCTGGACAAAGCTTGGGCAGTTAAGAAGCATCTTTAGTTTGAAGGATCTTTTAGGTCCACATGTATGACAACGCAAGATATGGTAATGATTAAAGCTAATCTTTGGGATGGCTCAACCCCACCCCACCCCATACATTCTGCTTACTCTCCTCACATGGTCCGTGTTAGTTTTTTATCATCTGTGAAATTTCTGCAAAAAATAATGTACCTATAAAGTCATCCTCCCTGGTATGGCAAGTAATGTGCCTATGATGTCATCCACACTGCTGTGACTCCCTGGTATGGCGGGTAGTGTGCCTATGATATGACCACACTGCTGTGACTCCCTGATATGGCGGGTAGTGTGCCTATGATATGACCACACTGCTGTGACTCCCTGGTATGGCGGGTAGTGTGCCTATGATATGACCACACTGCTGTGACTCCCTGGTATGGCGGGTAGTGTGCCTATGATATGACCACACATCTGTCATTTATGACCACACTGCTGTGACTCCCTGGTATGGCGGGTAGTGTGCCTATGATATGACCACACTGCTGTGACTCCCTGGTATGGCGGGTAGTGTGCCTATGATATGACCACACTGCTGTGACTCCCTGGTATGGCGGGTAGTGTGCCTATGATATGACCACACTGCTGTGACTCCCTGGTATGGCGGGTAGTGTGCCTATGATATGACCACACTGCTGTGACTCCCTGGTATGGCGGGTAGTGTGCCTATGATATGACCACACTGCTGTGACTCCCTGGTATGGCGGGTAGTGTGCCTATGATATGACCACACTGCTGTGACTCCCTGGTATGGCGGGTAGTGTGCCTATGATATGACCACACTGCTGTGACTCCCTGGTATGGCGGGTAGTGTGCCTATGATATGACCACACTGCTGTGACTCCCTGGTATGGCGGGTAGTGTGCCTATGATATGACCACACTGCTGTGACTCCCTGGTATGACATGTCTCCGTGGGAGGGTACTATGTTGCATCCCACATCGTTTCCTCTTTCCTGGCGGCAACATTGAACAACACATCCCATCATGCTTTAGGATGGTAATGACAGATGTTGGCCGTTCATTGCCAGGGAGAGGAGATGATGACGCAAGGGGCTGGGCGGAGCTAAACATCGGAGGGCAGATATTTCTAAAGACAGACAGAAAGTTCTTGCTTAATTATCATAGTCCCACCAAATGTTCTTTTTACACACTGACATGATGAGGTCAGCAAAAATCACCAATCAGACTACACAGGGACCATTAAGGGACCGGTCACTCTGCTGCGCTTAAGGCAGACACAATTGTCCCGTCCCCTAGGCAGGATGTTCAAGAAAAGAAGCTTCTCAGCGATGACTTCTATTGACGGTGAGAGAAGAATGCTATTGATAAAAGGGAAATGGAGCGTACATTAGTACTATGGACATGTGCCTAAAAGGCTCTTCAATATAGATTATTTTTCACTGGAGTGACGCTTTAAAGAAAAAAACAAGGTCCATTGTTCTTCATGTGTTTGTTTTTTCTTCTTCCTCAGGATCCGGTTTTATAATGTGCAGCAGTAAAGAAACGCACGACAGCGACGCCGACTTGGACGTTGACGGCGATGACACACTGGAATACGGCAAAGCACAGTATCCTTTTTTTTCGTTCTGTTGTTCGGTGGGGGGGCTGACATCCTCCTCCTTGTCTCCTCCATGTCCTGTGTCTGATCTTCCATAGGTAAACAGTTCTGCTGATTCTCTCCACAGCCAGTGTTTAAACAGCAGCCATATTTACTGCGCCACCTGCTGCCCTGCTGCGCCTTGCCAAATGCATTCTACGAGCTGTGTTGTAGCATGTAGTTCTGGGGCAAGGTCGCCTTCTGCCATTCTGGGGAAGGGAGCTCCCATGAACATGTATTTTATTTTTTCTTTCTATAGTAGCAACCTCAAACAAACAATCCTCTGGGGGCCCGGCTGTGTTCCAGGATACCCCTGTTCGTATCGCCACGCACAAGAATAGTGCTATAACATAATGTTAGGTTTCAGTTGCATCTCCAGGAGCTGAAAAGAACGGATAAAGCCTTCATCCAGACATAAAAGAAAACACATGAACAAGGTGTAAGGGGGGAGCAGAGCTTAAAGTGCCAAGTGCAACTCTAGTGCTGGGCTTTCTTATTCAAATCATTTAAAGGACACCCTACCTAATGAAACTGATACAAAAAAAAGCTTGCTTGTAAACGTTTTGAATACACAAGTTTTGTGGGGGGAAAAAATCACTAATTTTAAAGGTAAATTGGCACATTTGGCAGTAGATATGGCCATGCTGCAAGAGCTTGAAAGGAACTTCATAATGGGCAGGAAGGGTTTTAACTTTTCACTGATGTGCTGCTGGATTTAGCACCCCGCAGTGCAAAATACCGTTCCCCTAGTGGGGCTTGTACACCCATTTCCAGTCCTTTTTAAAAAAAAAACCTTGTAGCCTGGTCACATAGCTTTAAGAGTAACTCCAGCCAAAGTTTTAGTTTGAAGAGCCGCAACTGTTCAGGTTTTGTTACTGGGGGGTGGGGAATTCAGACCTTTTCTCCCTCAAAAAATAACTTTTTCTTAGTCGCAATTTACAGGGTCAGTATGCTTTAATACAGGGCAGGCAACCTCTGCACTCTAGCTGTTGTGGAACTACAACCCCCATGAGGCATTAAAGGACTCGTGACCGCAACAGGCATGACTGGCAGAGGCATCAGGGAATTTGTAGTTTCAGCACAGCTGGAGTGCTGAGGTTGGCTACTCCTGCTTTAATGTCTGTTCTTCAGCCTGAGCCGTTTTCCTTAGCAGCATGTCAACTAGGTACACGGAAGCGGACATTATCCCATGCACTGGGGAGGAGCCTGGAGAAGCCAGGGAGCGAGAGGCACTTCGAGGAGCGGTATTAAAGTAAGCATGAAGCAGCTGATTGTATTGCAGATGATATTTGTACATCTACAGAGGTTACAGCAATCGAAGCCACCCTGCAGTGTATTCGGATTATTATCTCCTGATGCACCGCCAGCTTGTCTTGTGTGCTGGGACTTCCTCAGCAGCCATAGGGAGTCGATATCTGACAATAACAGTACATTGGCTCTGGTTTGAGGCCGCAGGAAGACCTGTCTGCTGTACGAGAGCATCCAGTCAGATGTCCTTTCCATGTTTCTAAAGCTGGCCTTATATTGGTTGAATTTGGCCAGGTCATGCTGATTCAGCAGAAATTAGACGGCTTGTTGCCCATGTGTCTTGCTAGGAGCTCCTGTCAATCAGGCAGATGGGGGCGGGGGGTCAGCCAAGTGCAGGGGGCATGGCTCCATTTATAGAGGGTGGGCAGTGAAATGACAGGAAGGCAGAGGAGGAATGTGTTTCCCGGGTTCCTGCTTTGCATTATACAGCTGACAGCATGGATTCGGCTTGGTGCTCCGGTCAATCAAGCAGATATGGGCTGGAAGTGTGGTGTCAACCAAGCTAACCACACACCCATAGGCACGCCATGCATAGGCACGTGCATTAGAAGCTTTTGGGATGCAAACTTATAGGACACAAACCAGGCCAGCATGGCTCTACTTCCATGCTTCGTGTGGTCAGAAAGGTAGGGAAGAGGACTGACAGGATCACCAGAAATTTGCTACTAAAAAGGAATATTGCTGATAAAGAAGACAGATGCACAAGATTTATCATTGTCGGGGGAATTGATTGATGGTTCATCAGTGATGAGCGTTACTTAAACTGATCAGAATCTCTATAAACCTTTGTCTTCTGTCACACAGTATTCTTCTATAAATATGCATGAGAGTCTCATCCTATATTTCATATTGCCTTGACAGTAAAGAACCCCATCGTGACTTACTGATAATCTTTACCCGTTCTTTCTTATTGCAGTGGTGGTACACCCAGCACCAGGGTAACAACGGAATTCTCAAAGTGGGCCAGTGATGGTGAGTGTCCACAACTTACAACTTATAATATGGCAAGTTCTTAATATGGAGACCTCTCTCTGAAGTTTGCTCAGGCATGCAAATGTGCTGAGAAGGTTTGTTGCAATACAAAACCCTTTCAGATGGCTTGGAGTGCCTATCATGGCAACATTATTCCCGAGTTCAGAAGGTGTACGTGATGTGAATTTACATTGTGATAAAGATTGTAAAAAGTACAAAGGGATTTCCAGTAGGGATGCACCGATATATCGTCCGAAAATGGCACTTTTGGCTAAATGCCGAAAGTGCCATTTTCCTGCCGATACAGCGGCGCATCCGTGCTTTCTTTCCTCGCTGCTGGGCGCTGCTCTGTGTCCCAGCGGGGAGGAGAGACAGTGCGACAGCCGGCCGAGTGCTGCGGGAGGAGAGCGCTGTGAGCGGCCGGCGTCTCTCCTCCCACACCGCTCAGCCTCCTATCACAGTCCGGCAGAGCGGTGTGGGGGCGGAGACAACCCGCGCTGTCACAGGAGGCTGAGCTTTCCTCCGTACACTGCTCGCTCAGCCTCCTGTGTCAGAGAGGAGAGCGGGTACAAACACTCAGTGATTGCTGAGTGTTTGTAGATAATTGAGGACAGAGTATGGTTACTATATCCTCAATTATGAATGAATAGGAAGTGATCTACATCACTTCTTGTTTATTCATGATTGTGGTTATAGTAAACATACTTTGTTCTCATGTTAAGAATGAACAGGAACACTCAGTATAGAGGATTCTTGTTCATTGATAACAGGGGCTGCAGAAAAAGACATTGTGCACTTTGTGTCCTCAATCTCTTTTTCTATTTTAAAAGGGAAATATCAGAGGTCTAGACCCCTAATATTTCCCCGAACCCCTAAAAGTAAAGTAAAAAATAAAAATATTTAATTATGAATAAATAAATATAAAAAATGTAAACGTTTTTATAAATTAAAAATAAAATATTTGAAAAAATTAAAAAACATTTTCGGTTTCGGCCTGACAATTTTTTTTGTTTCCTTTTCGGTTTTGAAATTTCCATTTCGGTGCACTTCTAATTTCCAGTAATACGTTTAAAGTTCTACTAAAGACTCCCGGTGATGGAAACATGTCGTTAAATGTGGATAGTGAACACAAAGTGCAGTGTGAAATACTATTGGGTGGTCAGTGCTCACCACCTATCTGAGAATACCCTTCGCATGGTCACTGGTTCAGTATTTTGAGTTGGTGATCTAGAAGAAGCACACAGACCGAGAAATCCGAGCAAAGTTACAGCTGCTTACCTGTAGAATGTTTCTAGCGGGTTTGTAGCCTTTGGGGTTAGCATGGCCAGGCAACTGGCATTTACCAAAATAAATCTAGGTCTGCAACAGCATCCTCTCTATTCTTAATATAGGTTATTAATTTTTGGTCGTCTTATTCCAGAAATGCCGTCAACGAGTAATGGAGAGAGCTGTAAACTGGAGGCCATGCAGAAAACATGCAAGAACAGCGACATAGAAAAGTGAGTAGTGATGCCGAGCGCCCCGTGTGCAGAACAAAAGTGTACAGCCTGTTGCTGCGGTTCATGGATGTGTATATTGTACTTACATTATGGAGACACTTCAGAGGAGGGGACTCTTTATAGCTGAAGTTTAATCTGCTTCTATTTCACCTTCCCTGGTGCCTCCGTATGTCCTGTGTTGACATGTTTTGGGCTGTCGACACAGCAGCAGTTTTGAGACACTTTGGAGATCTTTCAGAATTCATCGATAGGTGCATTTGACCTTCTTCTGACCTGCATTTGACTTGCATTTAGCGGGATTTGCATCCCCATAGACATGCAATAGAATGAGAAACCCGCTTGAAGCAGACAAAAGGCCATCGACGCAGACCCTTATTATCATTCTATCCGTGTATAGTTTTATAATACACATGTACATTCAGGGTGGTCATTTTTGCCCATTTCACTTGCAAGCTGCCTAGTAGTGCAACATAGTCATTGTGCTTTACTGCTCCTCTTATCTTTTATCTCAGTAAGTTGAAACAGTCGTGTCTGACTGAGTGAGAACAATAGACTCTCCTGGTGGCTGACATTTTACCTCCGCAGATCAGGGAAGCTGCGTGATTGCAGATAACCACTAGAGGGAGAATTTACAACTCTGAATGTGTCTTTTTAATCGATAATATAATTTAGATTACAAGCAATGTAAAACTGTTAGAGAATTAAAGAAGAACTCCAGGAAAACCTTTTCTTACCCCTTGCAGTGGGGCTACCCCCGGCATTGCAAAGTTAAGTGCTCATTTTTGTTCAATAACAACAAAGTTAAATTAAATTTGCTGGAAGCTCCGAGGCGACCAGCTATCACACCGCTCTCTCCAGCCTGTCTCCTCCTCTGCTGCAGCATTGAACTCTTCCTCAGCATCCTCACATCTATAGACTAAGTATAGACGTGATGATTTTGGGGACCTTAGAATACTGCAGGGGGGGGGGGAGCAGGAAGGACCAGTCTGAGAACAAGCCGGCTCAGAGCATAGGGTGAATGAGTTCTTCTTTTAAATGATACAAATGAAGGTAACCATAATAATGGCAGTGCAGCTTCCCTTTTAAGATATTTACATGAACACCAAATACTTAAATACTTCAAATATATTTGAACGCACAACATCAAACGTTTATTGTAGAACAGGAAATATTAAGATCCGCATGGAGATGAGCAGGTTTAATACATTTTGGGGTGACCTCCACTTAATTTTATTTTGTAGCTAATGTCAGATGGATCCTCTGCAATGTTTTGGACCATTTTATCTTACCCTTCTCTTTCATTGTTTGTTTAGATTTGTATTTTTGTTACATATTTTTCTGTTCAGTTAATCTACAAGCGTTCTCCTGTGGTCACACAATTTTGGATAGAGAGGAAAACCAACGTTGAGCTGGTATATTTTGGACATAAATGGCTCCAAAATGTTATTAATGATCCCGATTGCAACCCGTGACGCGACACCACTAGAATTATTTCACTTCCCGTTTATCCTTTTCGGAGATCCATGTGAAGACACGGCTAGTTGTAGTTTAGTTGTTGATTTCTAGTGATGGATGGCGCAGACCCCATTCATCACTGCCGGTGTAATGTCCCCTCCACATTCCGGAGTCATCAGTCGTCCTTCTCATGGGACAGTCTTATTACTATCTTAGGAAGACTGGATTTCCCGGTAATAAATAGTTCCAGCCTCAGCCTGCCCGGACATTCTGCCCCAGGTGGATGTGTGTGTGAGTGTATCTGTTAAATGAATTGATAACTAGGCTCAGGCCTTAGCGAGCAAGCAAGGGAGGGCTCGGCAACCATCTGCCTGCTAACTACTCCGGCGCTGAGCCGTGATATATGGCGACCCGGCCCGGCAGGCTAAATTGATTCATCTCCAGTTTCTGTTTCTTAATCTGGAGCTAAATTGGTTTCATTTTTCTTGTTTCCTTGTGATGCTGGCAGAGGCATCGAGTTCTAAGGCTAGGCCCCCCGAGCGCCTTCATTTTTCATAACACGGGCCGCGCGTTCTCTTAAAATCCCGGCGTTATTGTTTCACGTTTAGCCACACGATTAACATTTACCAAAACAAATGTGTTTAGTAAGCTTTGCTTCATCACCTATGTCACGGCATCTTCTCTCTTCTTGAGCGATCGCCTCATTGTGAAAATCTACTCCCAGTCATTATGCATCCTGTGACCGGGGGCCGCACGCAGCTAATGAGCCTGATTATCTGCAGCAGTGGGTCAGCATTGACCCCTTGTCATGAGCCACAGCTGCTGCCGGGGACTAGGGGTCCCTCTCGCCTGCCTTTTTTCCTGCAGGTTTGTTGTACAGGCCAATTTAATGTTGCTGATGCTTCCAGAACCCATTTGGGTTTAGAGAACCTCACTAATTAAATTGAAATGTATTTTACAATGTTGGGAGGGGGTTTGAAATAGCTAAACACATGTGCAATGGGTAGACGTAAGCTGTTTTGGCATCTGGTTGTAGCTCTTGTGGTGGGGGAATAGAGATGGTACTCTGTCACTGATTTAGGGAAGTCCTGTGTGTCTATCCCCCTATCTGGTGTCACTGTCACCATCAGTCTTCCCACCTGGAGAGAAAGGAGCAGGGCGAATGCTGGGTGTTCTGGGCTCTGTGTTGCAAGCACAGTGCTGTAGTCGACCTGCCACTTCTCTATCTTTATCCTGCTGCTGTTTGGTACTATGTGGCGTTTTACTACTATCCTGCATCCTACTATCCAGGGGTCCCCCAGCCTGCTTGTTTTTCTTTGGCCTGTCACCTGTGTGACCATGTAGATGTCCTGGATGTGTTTTACTCTGGAGAGCATGCAGTGGGGGCCACCAGAGCAGTGCGACAGTGTAATCAGGTTGTGTTGCAGGAGCGACATGTCTACTCGCATTGGCCCGCGGTGTGAAGACAGATGAGAAAAATTACATGAAGAAAAAAAAAAGTGGATCTCTGCCAGACCCTTCTTTGCCCTACATCAGATAGACAGCAGATCACAGCACCAAACTGCTTCCACAGCATCATGGGAGCTTAAAACTTTTTTGTGCTGATTCAGTCATACTGCCCAAAGACAGGAAGAAAAGCAGACAAACAGCAGAGATACAAAGTAACATTGTTTATAAACATTGATCAGAGGGAGATAGAGAGATACAAAGTAACATTGTTTATAAACATTGATCAGAGGGAGATAGAGAGATACAAAGTAACATTGTTTATAAACATTGATCAGAGGGGAGATGGAGATACAAAGTAACATTGTTTAGAAACATTGATCAGAGGGGAGATGGAGATACAAAGTAACATTGTTTATAAACATTGATCAGAGGGAGATAGAGATACAAAGTAACATTGTATATAAACATTGATCAGAGTATGATGTCGAAAAGCCACCATGGTTTTTAAAAAACAAAAAAACAGTGTTCTTATTTAACCCCTTAATAGCGCTTAGTTTACCCTAGTTGGCCCTAATTAACTTCTTAACTATTATTTTTCTGCTGATTTTGTCTTTTATTATTTTTTAGATTAACTTTTTTTTTCTTCATGTTTTTATTTTGTTTATCTTCATTATCACTTGATAAATAAAAATCATGAAAAAAGTTTGTGAATAACTAACTTTGTACCAGAATCATATTTCCAGTGTCATTTTAAAATGAAAGAAAATAAAGAACAACATTTTGAATGATTTTCTGGCTTATGGGGGGGGGGGGGGGGGAACCTTTGCGGCTTCTGGGGGGGGGGGGGGGCTGAACTGGTGAAATTGGTCCACTTCGTAATTCGTCAATATTGTGAGGTTTCAGGAATTCATGGATTGTATCCGCAGCATCCTCTTAACTTACAGAAAGCCATTTGCTTTGTGTTTTGTCACGTAGTTCTTCCTTTCCTCTGAGGTTACGGGGCAGAATCTTAATTCACAGTGTCACCATTCAATTTTTGCTTTTTGCCACCAAACTAGATTGCAGGCCAGGGGATGCACACGGGGTGACTCGCCCGGCAGGTCACCTCCCATTTGTTTTCCTCAATTTTGTGTTGTCATAAATTCATTCCAGCTGCTTGTGGTCGATGAGTTTATCTCCGTCAGGGCAGGGAGCCGGCTGCCCGGCATGATGTATGACACGCGGTGCCGGTGCCAACCTCTCCATGAATCACTCCAGCTGTTTGGTGTCAGCATGAAAGCAAACAGGACAGCAGCGGCTGCGAGAGTGCCGAGTGCTATAGTAAGAGACATGACGTACGAATGTTTATTTAATAATTCTCTAATATTTCCAGCCCTGCTGCGGATTCGGACCTCTAGGAGCGGGGGAGGGCGGCCACTGGGGAAGATGGGTGGAACAGGAGACTCTAATCTGCTGGGGTGGCTCATCAATCACCGGGACAAGATCATTAATCAGGCGGAAGGGAAGAAAGGAGTTAGCGGGATTCAGTCACGGCGTTGTGGGATGAGCGCGGTGCTGGTGCACCATACGAAATTACTGATTATAATTGTATCTTTTACTCTGCGGTGACTTGAGCAAATTGCGTTCTGTGTGCTCCAGGGGCCCGCTCTTATGGGTGGTCTTGCGAAGCAAATCCATCGCAGAGTGGACCGAGAGTCTACGGAAGTCGCTCATTTTTATGTTCGCACTGCAAAGTACTTTATGTAAAAAATATTTTTTTCTTTTTGCCTCTGCCTGACAATATCCCTTCTCGGCTTATGTGTAAAGGTAGCACAGTGACAACTTCTCTGTTACGCATGGATCATATGTACATTGTTATCTCTTTAGTGAATAGGCACAACTCACAGTCCAAACAATACTTCTTAGTTATAGGTGGAGTGTGGTCCCCATCTCCTATCTCCTATCTCCTTTTAGTGGAAGGATCTCCCTTCATTCTTCCTGTTAACCCTTTGTGTTACATTGTGACCTCCTGTTTTATTGGTGACAGGTCCACTTTCGTAAGCACCTGTTACACAGGAAGTTGTCGCCCCTTTTGTGGCATTGTTGCACCAGCAGCC